TCAGCTCACAGAAGCTAGCCTTGATGGTATTCGTGAACCACCTCGGCGAAAAATATGAGGAGATCATACTCCACCTACTAGGGTCGGCAAAACGAAATATAACTCTCCCAGCCTAAGCGGCAGCAGTGGTCGTGGTGGTAGCAGAAGCAGTACGAGTGGTAGCCACTTAAAAAGGCGACAAAGTCGTGAGCCAATCAATTGTCACTCCAAGTAAGCTCAAAAATGACCTTGGACGGATTGAATTAACCAATCACCACTTGGCTGTCTTGACCATCAAGTTAAATGGTGCGGACAGGCGCGACATTTTATTGTTAGCCTATTTTCTTCGCGTTGTGTGTGTTGCTAGCAAGTCCCATCACGCAGGTAGATACCATTATTGATATTGGTATTCGCACTTATTGGGAAAGTCATTCCGACACGAGTTATATATATATATATATATATACAAGACAAGGAGAAAAAATTAATCTAGCTCAATAACTAGTTAGAAAATGCAACAAACACCACTAACTAAAGGCGTCGCATATCTGACTTTTAGAAGAAAAAAACAAAGAGGGGAGCATGAATGGAAGAGAAAATCACAATTCCGAGTCTCAGTGCCGATCTTTGGCACGTCAAGACTACCCACAAGAGACAAACATTGGAGACAATACCTCCCCACCTGATGGCCAATCATAGGCAGAAATAGGTATCGCGGCAATGCGGGGGAATTGAGAAGTCTTACTTTAAAGCTGATACTAATTTCCCAATTCGGTTAGGAAAGGGTCTTCTAATACTCATTTTGGGTAGGGATGGCACTGTTGAGTCGTCTTGGTGAGAAACTCAAACTATGTTGGCCCTCTTATTATCGGGACTTAAAGGATACATTCTTTGATATTAACCCCTCAATCGCCAAAACAGTTTGATATAATTAAACCATTATATGCTGTCCACATTTAGGAGTTCCATTAGGGTAGTAGTATATAACACTACTGAAGTTATATTTCAGTAACACAACTCACCTCAACTGAGTCAACTCTATCACCCTGTCCAAAACCACCGCCATCGCCCCTTATCGACATTTTCCGGTGTGGAGAACTAGACGACCTTATGACGAAGGGCTTTTGTGGACTTCCGGCATTCGTTGGAGTGGCTGGATCCACAGTACAGGTGGGTGTGGTAGATGTCCCTGTCACGGACACCCGATGGCGCTCTGCAGAGAATGATCGAAGAAGAGAAGTACCCCCAACGCCGTCCTGAATCGTTGAACAAGGCGTTGTAGTGCCTTTGGACTTCGTGGTTGTACTTCGAGCTCCGTGGGTGGATGATGAGGACGTCGCCCCAAAATTTGTTGCTGAGGAGGCCGAACTGAGCCGCCCTGGTCGACGCACTGTAAAGGAGGGCCACTTGCGAGAACCTGTACCGGAAGAAGACTTCTGCGGCTCGGCCTGTTCACGAGAAAGTTGGCTTCGTAGAGTTGGCAGCTCTGATGCCGAGGCTGGAGGTGATCCTGACAGGGAAAAAATAGTTACTAAATATTTTTTTGCCCCAAATTTCCCAAAAAAATTCGATTATCAATATTTATTTATTTATATCAAATGGCAAGCTTTATGAGAGTTATCATTAGCCCTTTAGTTGACTTCAGGCTTCACAGAGGGAGAGGAACATCAAATCGAAAAAAAGACGAGAGGGGGGAACAGAAGATTGTTTCACAGATGTAAAAGAGACAGACACAAAGGTAGATGAAAGGTGAGGTGCGTACTGTGGCAGTGGTCGAATATGACATACAGTGGGGTCATGATAGCTTGAAGTCAGAAGTCAACTGCCGGTTTATAGACTTTTATGCCGTATGAGTATGCGATGCCCAGGGTGCACCACGTGGAGGTAAGTCTATCGCACACCCCACACAGCAAATATTATTCGTGGTATCTGCATACATTTGACATAACTTGAATAAACCTTAATATCTGACTAGCTGAGAAGTACTCTCCAGCATATTCGGATGTGCGCAGTTTAATTGTGTTA